TACCAGATTTCTTCGGCTGGCACACAACCTGTTAGACTCAAGGCATCCCTTAAAAAACGCCAGCTTAGTTTTTACTCTTTTTTTTTTTTGCTACAGAAAAATAAAGCAATTCTTCTGCTGCAAGAAACTCAGATCACAACAGGACAGAATGTTTTTAACACTATGGAGTCCTATTTGAAAACCCTGGTACATCTTCTAAACCATGCTTGCACACTTAACAGTACTAAAACTGAATGGCACTCCAAAACACCCCTGAAAGGATCATGGGACACCCTGGTTGAGAATCACTGATCTATACCTAATCAACCTGCTTTCTAGATCACTGAATGGCCCACCATACTACACAATCTCTCAAGACAAGAGTTTACATCCATTTAAAACTATTCTGTTCTACTTTGCTACAACAATGCTCAAGTTGCAGTATAAAAATGTTGACTTCTTATGAGTAGCACTAGTTACTACAGAAGGACCACAAAAGTGTTCACAATTCCAGAATCAGTGTAGATAAAATAAACAAACTAAATTCTTTTTAAAAAAAAACATTTAAAAAAGACTGGCTATGAAAGTAGCTTCCTTAAAGAACATCATCTTTTTTTTACATTCCAAAATTTGTCTGCACTAACACAATGCTGAATTTGTCATCTAAAACTCAGAATTTGTTATAGATTAATTTTAATAGGAAACAGTCCCAAATATTTTAAAAAGGGATAAAATCATTTTTCAACATATTACTGTGATTACTTAAGCAGTAAATATGCAACTTATTAATTTTATAAAATTAGTACAATCATCATCTTAATACAAGACATGTCAGTCATGAGCTCAAATCCTGAGGAAAGCTACAGAATGAATGAAGTTAGCCTTAAAAATTGGCTCCAGGACCAAAAAAGAACCTGAAGAAGTGAAGTGCAAGCCATGAAACAGAACCAGATCTGGAAACATGTTAAGCAACTAACATGTTTTTTTAGGGGCTGCACCACTTCTGGGTTTGTAGGGAAACCAGGCTCTGAGAAATCTAATGGGGTTCTGGACTGAGGATCTGCACCAGGTGCACCAAAAAGTACCTGCTGAAAATAACATGCACAGATTAACACACATTGCTTTGGTGCGATGGGGTACTGACACAGCAGTCTGGTAAGTGTTCAGAGGGGAAAATTTTTGCTGGGGTGGTAACAGATCTGCATTCAAACGCGGACACTTAGACTGATCTCTTGCATTCTTATTTTTAAGAAAATTCTAAACCTCCCCCCCACCCCCCTCAAAAAATTCCTACACTGAATATTTATCAGTATACTATTGACAAGCAAATGTCAGGAGTTAAAGTTACTCTGATCTCTTGACGCAGTAAGTCAAAGCTGACATAAAGTAGCTACAACTCACTCCAAGTTCACAGTAGTCACCATAAAATTTGCTAGCACTGAAAGAGTCATAACCATCACACAGCTATTTCAATCTGGCATCAGGTTTAGAAGAGGAACAGCTGGTCTGAGGGAATCACATTGCAGACATACCAACCCATGCTCCACAGTCTGAGTGTATTAAATCCTTTTCTACTGCACTCTCTTGTTCAAACTGGAAAGAACAATTTCTTGTCTATGTATGTCATTCTGATGAACCCTATTCCTGGATTTATTCTATATGCCACATTTACTTCATGAACTATGTAAAACCAAACTAGAAGTCTGTATAATCAAATGTTTAAAGGCAACGTGTTGATGTAGTATCACACCCTCAGATTACAAATACCAACTCTATCACTAGTAGCCAAGATAATGCATATTATACAGTACTGTGACAGGCACTCATATGTCCCCTCCCTTCAGGCAACCCCCTACTTTTTGCCACAGTATACACATTTCTCATAAATTAGTAAGTCAAGCATGCATATTCCTCTTACACACTTCATTCCAAATTCTCAATGGTACACAACACTGATTTTCATCCTAGACACTGGCCAGCTATATGGTATTTAAAATAAGCAAATATATAAATATCAGTGGTCTCTCTGTACAACAGCATTGTTTTGACAGCAGTCCAGGAGTACATATAAGTTCAAGTCCCATAAATTTTGAGCCCCTGCTATATAAATAGGATACACAAGAGCTATTCTGGGGGTGAATTCAAGAATCATCTTCTCCCCTGATTAGTTTTTAAAAGCAACCCAGTCTATTCATGCAATTAATTTGTCCCATCTCCCTCTTTTATAGAGTGCACACAGCAGCACTCATGTATGGGGTCAAACTAACAGCTGTATAATGAAGTACCACATTATCCACAGAAGAGATACAATCAGCATTTGAAGCTAAGAAGGCATTTACTTTTCACACTTACCTTTCTTGTTTCTATACTTAAAATTTCTAAGAATGTCAGTTTTAATACTTTACATTTATATTTTGACTGGTTTCTGACATTAACTCCTACCCACTAGAAAACAGGTTAAGATCAATGCCTTTCACATGTGATTGTTAGGTGGCCTAAAACAGCAAGTAATGTTACTACCAATCTAGGCCTGGAAAAGCAGCAACCTATGAGTAGAAGCACTCTGCATCATTATTAGTTACCAGATATTCATCATTAGACTGCATGCCATAAAAACTGATGGTCATAAGCAGGGATCTTGGTTTTCTCTGATAAAAAACAAAATCACAAATTCTCTGATAAAACCCGCAAAATCCATTATTAAAATTAAAAGCCCCCTGCAGCCCCCCACCACCAGCCCTGCTGGTGCCCCTCACTTGCCCCCAACGCCCGCTGCAGCTGCCTCTCTCTCACCCCCAAAGCCATCCCAACCCTGCTGGTGCCCCTCATTGGCCTCACAACAGCCCCTCGCCCTACCTGTGCCTCTTGCCCCCACCCACAGCCCCTGCCCCCAGGGGCCTGCTGGAGGAGGCCCACAGCTGTCAGGGCCATGGGGCCAGGGATGCAAGTCTGCAGCGCCTTGTCCCTAATAGCAGGCAGCTCCAGCAAAAACAGCATGGAGCCGGCTCCCCCACTGCTCTGCCTGCTCAGGTGGGGGCGGGGCCAGCTCCCCCCCACAGCCCTGCTAGTGTCCCCCAGCCATGGCCCACAACCCTGCCAGAGGGGCACCCAGCACCTTCAAGCCCCACTTACCTCAGGCTCCAGGAGCGAAGAGTGAAGCTGAACCAAGCAGAGCTGTGGCTGACTGAGAGCCTCAGGCCCCGTCCTTCCCCCTCCCCGTTCCCTTCCAGGCAAACCAGCCAGCAGAGCTGTTTGCAAAAGCAGGGAATCCATGGGTTTCTCTGCTAAAAGGAGAAATCTGCATTCTCTCTGATAAAAAGGGTAAATCTGTGGTTTTCTCTGTTTTCCCATGGGAAAAGGAAAACCAGGATCCTTGGTCATAAGCTAACTGTAACAGAATGCCTTTGGTACTTATGCCACAATGGGCATTCTATGAGAAGCAAATTTTTGGTTTGCCCATAGCTGTACAGTAGCTCAGTGAAAAATTGGATGAAAGGAGCAAAGAACAATGTTTTTTTCTTTCCTTTAAATTACGTCAAGTGACATACATTTCCCTATGAATACAAAACATGAATTGTCATTTCTACCTAGGAGAACTTTTACAGTCTCTGCTCTCTCCTATGCCTGATGAAGGGTGTGTGCACCCAAAAGCTTGCAAATAAATAAAACAATTTGTTCGCAAATATCTAGTTGATCTAATACAAGATATCACCTCTTCCATGAGCTTTGATTCCCTAGTATTTCTTTTACTTTTCAGACATCTTTATTAGCTTTCTTGGAAAAAAATGCTTTATGTTTAATTGATGAGGATAATAAATTTGTTTCTCTGATTATTCTGACCTGCTTCATTCTAACATCTCACCTCAAGGAAGAAAGATGGGGAGAAGGTCAATCTAATGCTAAAAATGCTGGAAGTCACATGCTTAAACATCTTACTTCTAACTACAAGCAGAACAAACTACCAAGAGACATCATGTTGTTCTCACCTGGGACAAGATCCATGCAACAAACACCTAATTAAAGTTGTAAATGTACCTAGCTTTCTTATCTCAACAATAGCCAAGGTGGCAGCAAAACTACCATAGTTGCATTCCTCCAAAAATTGCAAATTCTCTGATAAAACCCCCAAAATCCATGCTTAAAATTAAACCATCCCCCAGCCCTACTGGTGTCCCTCACTCTCTCCACACACAGGCACAGATGCACACATGCATACACAGACATACACACACACCACAGCAAGTAGGTGTGTGTGTGTGGGGAAGGGGCCGGGCAGGGCAGGTGAAAAGGAAGGGGATGGGGGATCCAGATTGAGAAGCAGGGGGAGCAGGGAAGGGAGGGAGTGCATCTCTGTGCTTGCTCCCAGGAGCAGAGCCAGGGGGGGCAAGGGCAGTGGTGCCATTCCACGGGCCACACACACACCAGCCTAGCCAGGGGAGAGGGGAGACTCACATACTGTGGCCACCACTGCACCACTGCTGCCGTGCTCCATGCTGCTTGCACATAGCCGGTTGTG